GGATCCCTGCTTATGGGTAGACACCACTTTTCTCAGGGAGATCCAACTGGCAGTTTCAATATCCCTCTGGTGCTGCCACTTGTGGGCACTCAGCCAACATTCTCAAGTCTCTATTGCACTTCTTATCAGTCAGGCTGTGCTAAAGCTGATTCTTCTGTCTGTCTAAGGTTATAAGGCTCCTCTCTCACTATTGTTCAGTTGTTTGTACAAGGTGATTTCTCCACAATTTAGTTGTAATTCCAGATTGGTCCTGTGTGACTTCCATTCACTACTATGCCATCTTCCCCCCACCCTGTTATTTAAATAGACTAATCTTGCCCCACCTCCAAATAATTATTACCTCTAGTTTGAAATACAAATGTTCATCTGTATTTTTTCTAATTTCATTTCCTTCTTTCTTCCCTTACATTCTGTTGCCAATTTTTGTTAACTCAACTGTTTTTCAAGTCTTTGTGCTATTTTATTCTATCCCATGTCTTTCTCTCTCAAAGATTTTGATTTCCTTTGTTTCAGTGGATTCACAACATCCTTTCCATTCATTTCCCTGTCTCTTTTCCCATCTTAACCACAGCTGGTAGAATTGCCTTTCTTTTTTCCAGTACCCTTTCACCTTCTCATTTCCCTTGTCAAGAACCATTTTCTCACCCATTTATGCAAATGCAAAGACTCACCTCCCTTCCTCAAAGCCTTTTTTTTACATTCGGTTTCATTCTATCACTACAACAGAGTTCATTGCCAGTTAGCTCTCCAGTCTTCACAATTGTTTAAAAGTCTAATTTAAATCTATCTAAGCCATCTTAAACTTCAGGTAGATGATGAGAAGAACTCTCTTCTTCTGGTATAATAGACATTTTTCCTTTTTACCATTGGTCTACAAAATAAACCTTATTAATCTGGAAGTCCTTACTAAAGAAGAGTGATATCAAAGAAGGAAAATTGTGTTTTATATTCTATAAGGAAGAGCTTCACACTGTATAATAAATAATACTGTGAATAAATGATGTGGAAATATTCACCCTATACAAGAAAATTCTCATGCACATAAGTATTTGCACAGGAACAACAAATTGCCAACTATAATGCTACTCAAATCTTTTATAAACTTGAAAGGATGTGCAATTTCCCAATGCAAACATTCATAACTTTTTTGTAAGTTGGTTGTTTGGAAATCTGATTGTATCTTCCCAGAGGAATCATAATATAAATGTAGTTTATTTTCCCAGCCTATTCCACAAAAGCCTATTCCTAATATATCTTAAAAAAATCTTATTATACAATAGAAACAGTATTGTTACTATTCTTGATGGAAAAATCCACTGAAAGTTGGAATTTGGGATTCTAGGATTGCATCTGACACAATACCAACAAGTCACAAAGAGTGTGGATTTTCAGTGAAGTAAATAATATAGGGAGGGGTCATCCTTGGGTGACATGGTTATGACTCAGGGAGCAGGTTTTAAGGACTAATTAAGGGAATTTATTCGGAGAAAGCTTGTTTAGATGGCAAAAGGAGATGGGGTAAGAAGGTAAAGAGAGAGTTTTGCAATGTTTGTGCCCTTCCTTTCCCCACAGTTAAAAATATGTGCTAAGAAGATACAGCGGTGAGAGAGGAACAGGATCAGCAGGGAAGAAATGTCGGTAAATTTGTTATATTGAATCACAAACGTAAGTTATGTGAAAAAAAAATAAGTTATGAAGAGTTTTAGCTCAGAAATCTTATGAAATCAGGGAAACTGAAAAAAGTTGACATTTTAAGAATAATTTGATATCTTTTTAAGTCACCAAAACGATGTTGGAAAAAAAGGATACATATCCCAAATTATATGTTCCTTTTATTATATACACTGTATGTGAACAAAATCATTTGTAGTGACCCAAATAACAAAACATGGACACTTTAAGAGAAATTTGATCAAATAAAAGAAAACTTTCAATCGTTTAAGAACCCATTATAATTTCCTAATTTATCTTTTAAATGTGCAATGATGGCTTTTTTCACTATATGCAACATCAATCTCTATTAAACAAATTTCATGTATAGTTTATATAAATTTACTGATGGAAAAAGTGGGTTTATGGTAAGGTGTTATTATAAGATCTAACTGTATAAAATACTATAATTCTGCTCTATATATTGATAATCACATCCACTACATAGGTCATTTCTAAGTATATTTTTAGTTAGATAAAGTTTGTTCTTAGAGTTAAAAGCCTATTTAAGATCCATTTTTTGTTTTAAAAAATCCCAAGAGTATATTAGGGGCTGGGAAAATAATATATTATAATAGGTAACAGAGAAAATAAAAATATAGTTGAAAAGTAGCTTATACATAAAAATTAATGTGTAATTTATAAAAATCTCAGAGCAAAGTTAATAATCAAGTACTAAATGAAAAATTTCACTAATAATTATTTAATTTAAACTCCAAAATGGAAGTTTCTTTAGAAAAATATGATAATGATGCAGACAAAGAGGTAGGTCAGAGGGGCAGAGCAACAAAACTCTGTTTTTCATGCCTTAGACAACATGAGGATATTTCTCAGCTTTGTATTTCCCCTCTTCCCTATCCTTCCTGATTCCAGTGCTTTCCTTTGGCTGTGACATGAAGACATTTTGAACTAAAGGATCATGTGATCTGAGTGCCCACAGAAAGCGAACTGGAGGCCAAAATGAAGGAAAACCAGAGCAGGTCACCAGTTGAAAATGCCATTCCTATCCCCTTCAAAATTTTCCAAAATGTTCAAGTACAGGTTGTTATGTAGACTTTATTTTTCTGCAGAGCCATAGTAAATATAATACCTGAGGCAAAAGTATTCTGAAATGTCATGATATACTTTTAAATCTCAGAATGTTCCAGCATGTTCCCAATTCTGTCCATCCTTGACTTCCTGTGCTGATTCACCATTTTTCTTCTGCTCATTAACTATAGCTGTACACTCAAGATTTATCATGGTCTTGTTCTTTGTATAGTTATTCTTTTGAACATCTCATTAATTAATATGCTTTTACTGCTGTCTTTTTATCCCATTTCCAAATCTTTATATGCACACATGAGTTTCCCACTCTTTGTTTTGTTGATAGGACAGTTGCCTTTAGATGTTGTAGCAGGTGTAGGTGTCAGCCCACACCACTGCCTCCTCCAGGACAGTGTGAGAATACAGGTCCCATATGTTCCTATGGCTTCCTGCATTCCTCCAGCAGCTGGGTCATGCTAGACCTTCTAGGGGCAGGTCACAAGTTCCAGGGAGTTAACACCCAGGCACAACTCTCAACAATGAAGGAAGGTAAATTAGTGCATAAATACATTAATTTCCCTGTCCCTCAGTGGGGAGAGTCTAAGGCAAGCTCTGCACAGTTTCTCATAAGTTCTTCAGTGGAACTGAACCCCAATTATCCACAGCAATAACCTGTTCATTAATGAATCTATTTTCTGGCTTTCTTGCCCTCTCTGTTATTTTCCCATTCCCTCACAATGCTTCCTGGGATTATCTCCCAAGTAAACTACTTATGTTCAAATCCTTACCTTAAACTGCTTTGGAGTAGGGGGAGGTGATGCAAGCTAAGACAGAATCAATTTCAAACTTAAAATATGTTAAAGATTATAATCCTCTTTCAACACTAACACCCTATCTCCTTTTATCATCTCTTCTCTTTTATCTCATCTCTTCTCTTCAGAGATACAGGGGTATGAGGGGTTTAGAGACAAACAACTTCTGCTCCCAGTTTTATGGTATCATCCCAGGTGATTTATTTATCTCTTCTAATTTTATGTATATAATACTTTCTAGAGCTGTTGTAAGCATGAAATAAAATAGAATAAAAATGAAAACAAATAAAATAAAATAAAACACCTTTTACTTTGTCTTCATCCCAATATAATGTGGCAGTTTCAAATTTAGGGAAGAACCTACAAGTTTCTTTGATGAGTTTTTTTTTCCTCCAATAATTACCTGGAACCAACTAAAAACACAAGAGTAAAAACCACAAATATTGAGAGTATTTTTTGATATGAATATAAATTAATTGCATGTCAAATTTTTTCTCATGAGTATACTGTGAAAAGAACTGCTCTACTGAAGTATTTAGAGTTTTTGTACATTAGACATCCTTAATATGCAGAGCTCATAAAAAGCAAAAATAATGAAAATTAGCACACAAAAGACAATTCATGATATTGACTAACAAAGGTATCATGAAAATCACTTATTGATCAATCTAGGACAGAAATCACATTCTGTATGTTGAGGGGAAAGAGAAATAAAGGGAACTTAAAAAATAGTGATGTGTTAAGGAAGAAACATTAATAATGGCATGTCCTTCTTTATAGCTTCCTACAGACTACAATAAGTATTAATATTAAATTTGTTGTTTTTTTACTGACTCTTCAATTCTGACAACTCCCTTCTTTTGTACTTTCACCTTTATACACATTCCTCCCCTTCCTAAAATTTCCTCATTTTCTTCAATATGATTTAGGGCTCAAAAGATTTTCTGTTGACTGCATTCACATTTAATTATAAATCATGTCTTCAGCAGTTGGTTTATATTGAAAACGGAGAACAAATTCAATATCTGTCTATAATGAATCAAAAGTAGCTGGTAGGATCACAGTCTACATAATTAGAGTGTATGTGGATTTACAACAACATTATTAGTTCATGATTAATCAGTACCTAATGTGAACCAGTTCATACCCGTTCATTTACTAAGTCATTTTTGTCTTACATTAAAGTCCTATGGCTCTGTTTCAGATCAGTTAAGAGTTTTGCTTTATATGATAGTACATTGTTAAACTTGCCATCTGGTCCAACAGCTGACATGGCTCATACAACCCTGAAGAGGCCCCAAAGATTTACTCCTGGGAAATATTTGGTCTACTGTGTGGGGTCATGATACTGGCTCACAGCTTCTTTATATCCTTTGAAAAGAATTGCAGAAAAACCTCTACACAGGAAAAATCCTAAATTTGAATTAATTTGTTAGAAAAGAGTTCACTTACCTGAGGACCTGGCTGACCCTGAAATTGAAAAAAAGGAAAAAGAGAAAGTTACAAATCTTTTTCTTAAGTGAATATTTTCACTACTAAAACACAAACTAATTCTGAAAATCTTTTCAAAATATTTCTGAAGATAAAAATACCCAACTACAGACAAACTTTACTTTGTGGTTTTAAAATCATATTTTATCTTAACATTTTTAGTCTCTGCTATTATTTAAAGTCTTGATGTTATGGTCTATTACATGTAACTCCAAAATGACTCAAGGCTTTCAGAATCTCTTAGAATTCAATTGCAGAAAGAGAAGGCAAAGGAGAAGTATACCTCACATGATCATAATGCACAGATTGGTTAAAGGGAGTGTCTGTTAGTACAGACTTTCTATGCACTACATATTCAAAGATGGCACAGGGTTAAGAAGAAAAGAGGCAGATATCTTAGTTTCAGAACTCACCAAAATTTTGAATTTCTTTTTGTTTCAATAATATTTTAAGGCAATTTTAAAAATAAACACCTATCTCTTATATAACCCAACCTAAGGGCATTTTGAAAGGATAGGAAAGGTTTGGGCCCAATTAAGTGCATCACAACTTCTCATACAGTCAGTAGATTATATAACCTCAGGCCAATCTAATTCATTTTGAATGTCGCTTTCTTGTGGTTTAAGCTGATAAAAATTTCAAAGCAGCATAATAGTAAATGCTTCTCTCTAAAAGAAAATCAACTGTGAATAAAATTATTGATTACACATCTCCTTCTTAAAATCTCCAGTTGGGTTTTGTGTAAGATGAAAGAAAAAGTTTGCAATGAGTTAAGGAATCTTCAACAATAAATTAATGTGCAATCTCATTGCATCAGATATTTGTCACTGGGTATTATTCAGGAAAGCATGGAGCTAATATAGTTCTCAGAGAACATTGTCTCTTTTAGCCTGTCTCCAAGCTTAAAATTTTTTTTAGATACTTGTTGTCTGGGGATAGAAGAGATGATTTTCAAAAGCTTTGTCTGAAAGTGTGGTTGGCCAGGTTTTGTCTACTCAAACCAGAAGGGAGCTAAACCGAGCTGCTGTGGGGGTTACTCGCTCCACTCCTGAATTCTTTAGTTGGTGGAGAGGGAGCAAGAGAATGATATTTATTAATTCCTTGCTGAGTACCAGGCACTTGGGAATTTGTTATGCCATTGATTACATATAATTTGTAAAATGCTCTGCCTTACAAATTGAGGCTCACAGAAATAAGTGAAAAGTCACACAGCCTCTAGGTGGAGGGCTGAAATGTAAACCGAATCTGATTCTGAAGTTCATGCACTTTCCACCAGGTCATTCTGTCTTTCAGTCTGGAAGTTTAAGAAAAGGGAGGCAGAGTTGCTCGGATCAGCAATGACACCACAGCACTGTTCAAGTGAGTGGCCACTGAGCCTCCCAACCACCCCCCTGCTACAGCAGTGTGAACCTCTGTTTCCAGATGTCAAAGATGTCAACCTCAGACCAGCAGGCACCTGACTGTTAACTGATACTTGGACAGAAACCAGGTCAGCAAAGATTCTTTAGGGGAACAGAAAGGTTCTTGAAAGGAACAAACAGCCCTAATATCAACTCTAAACATGGAAAACCTACAAAAGTAGGCTCTCCACTTACATGTAAATATGGATCTTCCCAGATCCATGTAATAGGTGAAATGCAATACATGCTCACTCTTGCCTGCACTTTAGATGTTTTAAGCTTCTAGATGCTAAGCTTCTGATCTTTCTGAAATGTGTAACTACTGAAAACTTAGAAATGTGAGTTTATAGAACCTTGTAATACATTACATTTCTTATATGTTTTTGTGAAAACTCAAATGTAGGATTCTATGAATTCAGGGAGAATTTCTTCAAAAGAAAATATTCCAGCATTGTTCCTGACATTTTTGGGGTGGTTTTTTTTTAATTTTTATGGTTGTCCTACAAATGAGACTTTTCCTGTCTGTTTTTTAAATGTGGCATTTGTGTCATTACACTGATCAAGTGATGTTAGCATAGTGTGTGGATATATTCATGTTATATACAAATATACATTGTGTTACAGATTTTATGTTAGTGATAGTGAGAACAAATAGTAAATGATGGTAAAGTGAAAAAGTTGACTTTCACATGAGAATTGAAAAGTATACAGCACCAGAAAACTCTGATTAAGCCTAACATGTAATATCCGTTTTTGGTATGTATGATGTTCCTATGTGTGCACATGTGTGTTTATGTAGGGTGAGGAACTTGAAAAAGAAGGTTGGAAGTGGGTTGGAAGACAGGATTCCCAGTAAAACGATACATACAACATGAAAAATCTGGTAACTCTCCCTAAAACATGGATTACAAGAATGTAAGCCTTGTAAGTCTTACCCCAAATTCTAGGACTGCCTATACTCAATGTGATATAACAAATTCTTCACTAGCAGATACCTAGTCAGAAAACAGTTTAGCAGCTGGAAGCTCGTAGTCGTGGGAAAAGGGCCCTCTGAACAAAAGGGGGAAGTGTCCTGAGGGGAGGTGTCGGTGGGCAGGGCCGTGAGAGCATCCGGGGGAGCAGCACGCAGGAGGGCCAACGAGGGCCCAAAGAGAGGTGCGTCTCCGAATTCCCAGGAGTGAAGGCATTGGGTGATAAAGCCTTCTTCACAAATAACCAAAAGAAATGACTCAGATTTTTTCAAGTTGTTGAGAAATACTGGTATTTTCATACATTAGTGGATATCTTTTCTAGTATACTGTAATTTATAGGTAGTAAACATTACTAATTATCAACTGTGAAAGTTACTTTGTTTCAGTCTAAAATACTCTTCAAATGGGTAGTTACATATTATGATGAGGGCTCACGAAATACAACTTAGTTGAATTTTTAAAAATAAAATTTCTGAAAAGGACGTTTTTTTCCCAAACAAATCACCAAACTGTTACTATAAATAAAAAACCTGAATATAGTATAATCAAGAGCCATGCCAAGGGAAATAGTTAAATCACAGAAATATTGACATTTGGAACAAACAGATGTAAAGATGGAGAATGCTGAGTGGCTGATTTACTGAATGTCAACAGCTCCGTGCAATGCCCTCAAGGCAGCGAAGGCACCAGCATGAAGTAAAAGAAACAGCAGGAGGAGCTGGCTTTAAAAAGTGATAATCAGAACAGTATGGCAAGCAAACAATCAGCCAGTAGCTGATGCCTGACAGAAAAGGGTTCAAAGCAAATTGAAAGTTTTGTGAGGCAAGTAAACCACAAGGCAACGTGAGAAATGAGATGACATACCCCTGGAGTATGTATTGTTACATCAGGCAATTAAAGAGCAATATTAACCATTCTTTGTTAGGCTGTTACCACAATTATGGCTGCCAGAAAGTGCTAACACTTTTCTCTAAATCTGCAAAGTCATTTCGATTTTGACTGAGGCAATTAGTTTCACTACATGATACTTTTTTATTGCCATCCATCCACTTTTTTATGGATGACAATAAAAAAGTATCATTTTGTGTCATTCCTTTTCAGATGGGACAAATTCTGGTTTTTCATTAACATATGCATAGATAGGCACACAAAATTTGTACTTTTAAAGTACAATTTTACTTTAAAATAACAGATCCACATAAATTCACTGTGATAAATTGTCAATAAAAACACTTGCATTTCCAAAAACTTAGGGGAATATTAGTACTGTTCATGCAACTCTAAAGGCGCTACCTCTGCTTCAGGATAATTAGAAATTACTCTAATAACTGAGCAACTCTTCATTAGGAAACTCAAGTTTGATGATCATTTTTAATTAGCCTCAATTCAGATTTATTTCATTCTCTTGAATTGTAAGAAAATACTTAAAAGCAGTTATTCTACATGTTTGTATTTTGGAACCCATACTGCCTAAAAAGATCATTAGAAGGTGATCACTATAACTTCACTACCTGTTGAAAGTCCTGAAATCCACACATTTGGATGCCAAGCTTATTTTTCCCTCAGGTGAAAACAGTTTCTGAAGCAGGCATTCAGGTAAAGCTTTAGAACAACGTCATAGGTACTCTGAGTGGCAACAGGATTGTCCCGGTGGCCGGAGATCATGGAGACCAATACTTATACTATCATGGAATCATGTCAGTGAGATCTCTTCACTTCGCAAGCTTCTCAGTTTGACGTAGAGTCCATGCCAGCAAGTGGCAGACGCACACTACACTTGCAGCACCCAGAAGCAGGAATCCTGCCTAGCCTCACGGCGCCAGGAATTTGTTCACATTTAACCCCAATATCTTAGTGTCCAAGTTATAATGTGCTTCTGGAAAAATTGTTGAATTGCTGAAAGGTGAGAATATTTTGACTGGCTCAAAGATGGTTTACAATATTTTTATAGGACCATTAGGAAGTTTACTACTCTTAACCTTACAGGGTTATATTTTCGAAATCTAGTTTCTTGATCCAATATTCCAGAAACGGTTCTCTTGGCTTCTGTTCACTTCAGAACAAACACATCCATGTCAAGAGAATGCCGCCCTACTCAGTGGAACCTTGTTCAGATAATAAAGAGGGAACCGAGGCAGGCAAAGACTGCAGGGGCTTCCTGGGACAATTCAGATCCTTAGCACATGGCACAGAACAAAAAAACATAAGAGGTCTATCTTGAAGAAAAATCTCTTCCTAGCTTGAATAAGCTTCCATATCTAATTAATGTGAGGCTGTTACATCAAATTACTGATACTTATAAAATGCTACAAAATTTAGCATGGCAATTTAAAGTAGGTCATATATCCAATACCAACAATTCATTCAACTAATACGTATTTAGATAAAAAGTCTATCAATTTAAAAACAAATTACTATGCAGGTGGTATACTATAGAGAAAAGCAATTGAAGTAAAGCATTAAGGATTATGTGCATTAATTTTAAAATTCTTTGCAAAGACTGCATAATCTCACAATGTCTCTAAGCTGCTCGTGCTTCCAAGGACTCTTACATGCTTGACTAAAATAAACATTATTCATAATTTATATTGCCTAATGTATTACCCTA